GATGTTTAGTAAAGAAATAGTATTCTTTTGATTTGTTGAATAAAAAAATTATAATTATTATATAAAAAAGTAATAATTAGATATTTGATTTGATATTAGTTATGTATGATTTGTAGTGTTAAATAAGATTTCACCAATATTCTACTCATGGCAAAAAATATATATTGGATTACATAATTCTGATCCAAATAACATATCTGGAATATTATAAAGATTGTTATATTTTTTAATAAACAATCAATAAAAATTTATTTATTTTTTATAGTACAAAAAAAAATAGCCAATAAACTTATAGTATAAAAAAAATTGAATTGTTAAATTTTATAATAAACTTTATTTAGAATTAATATAATCAATATGCAAGACTTTTTTTATTTAATTGTTAATGATAAGATTGTAGTACTTCTTAATACTTATTAACTGCTTTTACTATTGGCTTTATCAAATTATCAAAAGTATCTATAAATTTATTATTATATATTTCTTGTTTATATAATTCTAATGCAGTATTTATTATTTTTTTATAAACAGTAAGTTTTTTTATTTTTCCTCTATTGTATCATGTCTTATTATTATTAATATATTTTTTAAATTAGTTTTAATATTGTTATTTATCACAAGTATCTTATTTGTAGATTAAGAATTATTTTAAGATATAATTGTTGGTATTTTATTCTTTCCAAATGTGAGTTGAGAGTAGTCATATCATTGTATTGTCTCTGAGAAGTTAGATTGGAAGTGAATAACATTTTTTTTTGTAACAAGATACTTGCATATAAGATAACAGCTATAAAAATATGCAGAATAAAAACATATCCAATTATCTATATCAATATGATAATTTTTATTTATATCAAATTGGATTTTAATAATTGCAGCTTTATTTTTATTTTTTTTTGAAACCTTTCCATTATGCTGAAAAAATTTGATTTCCTTTAAACTAACTTATCTTAAGATCAAAATCTGATATCAATTGCTTTACAAAAATTTAAATAAGATAATCAAAATGTGACTAGTTATAATTATAATTATAATTTTATTTAAGAATTCGCCAATAACTTTTTGTAATTATAATGGTTCATGCTAATGATATAGTTATTGGATATGCTAATCAAAAACAAAGCATTTAATTTTTTTTATTATATCAATTTATCTACAGGTATTCTTACAATTCAATAATATCATAGCTATACATGTTTCCTTATTACTATAAAAGGAAATTTGATCGACAATACAATTCTGAATTAAATATGATTCCCAATTAGGGCTCCTAACGATACCACTTTGATGCTACTTCGATACCAGTTCGATACTTAAATTTACTATAAAAACATATGAGTAGGTCACAATCCATATATTAAATTTACTATAAATCGATACTATTTCGATATCAGTTCAATACCAGTTCAGTACTTTTTTGGAGCCCTAACTGAGACTTTCAAATCTAAAAATAATGCAGACTAATGCCAATGAAGTTACACATTGTGTATTTATTATGTCAATATTAAACACATCCCTGATAACTTACCAAAAAAGAAAAAATCTATATATTATATCAAAAAGCAGTTTCCGGTGAGAAAGCATCTGGTTGTGTCAATTTTGCAATAAAAGAAAATGAGGATCTTATATACATAGTTGAGAAAAAGCCTTGTAATATCAAAATTAGTTACCTCCAGAATATTATGCAACTAGAGAGTATGTATCATACCAATAAAAAAAAGCGTACAGCAGATGAAGCTTTTTAGGATGATAATTACAATTATCTTTATAGAATAATTTCTACTGATATGTTGTATTTACAAATATTTCAGAATTCCTTATTTTGTTGATTTCATTAATAAAAAAATATTATTTATTTTTAGTCACAAAATGTTATTTTATTGTTTTTGCTACTAATGGTCTTTATTGTACCAGTAAAAATAAATATCAAATAAATATTTTTAAAATGGTGTTCAAGGAGGATCTTGAATCTATTAGAAAAGATATAAAACAATTGTTAGGTATTATTGTTGAATTATTGAAGGACCAGATTAGTATAGATAATTCTCCAAACAGATTGAAATTGAGAATTAAAAAATTTACCAAAAAATAGCAAATCTCACTTCACATATATTCTATATTGTATTAATAAAGCAATCAGATCTAAATAATTTTTTTTCTAATAATTAATTTTATATGTGATCATCAAATCCGAAATTGATTTTCATGACTCAAAGAGTTTGGGCTCTGCCCATTATATCTGAAATTGGTTTTGTTAGTTACAAGAAGTATAATATTTATACTTTAATATTAACTTTTAGTTATAAAAAATATTAAAAAAACTTATTTGATTATATATCACTATGTCTATTAATATTTCATCCCTTGAATCCCTTGCATTAAATATTTTAAAAAATTCATATATAAAAAAAATAGCAAAAGGTATTAATGTTTCAGAACTTGACCCATGCACATTATGCAACTGTGAACTTTTTTTATATGAAATAAAAATCTCAATTGCTATACTTATCTGTAGACATATATACATCTCTATAATAAATTATTAGGATGAGTCAATATAATTGGCTAATAATGATAAAAAACTTTTTTTTAAAACACGTTTTCTTTTCAATTTGATTATATTCACAAAAAATTCCTCTCCATGTTTGTTTCTCTTATTTTATAATTTCTTGTTATATAATAAATGTGAGGTTTTGGGCTAAGTCCCTAACAAAGTAAACAAATAATCAGTATCTATCTTTTTGATGTAAAAGGTACTGTTGTTGTTTCTAAACTTAATATATCTTTCTCAACTATTTATGACACAATAAAATAATACAAAAAAAATAGATTCCTACATCCTAACACATACCCTGAAAGATCAAAATCTTTTTTTAAATATAACAAGTATTTATTGCAATGCTTTATTAAAAAAGACCATTTCACACCCCTAGGCATTATATCAAACAAGATTAACATCTACCTTAATATAGCATTTCACAACAATACAATTTGAACTTATTTATACAAAGCTGAGTTAGGGAGCTATATGATATGAGAAAAGTTGTTTCTATCAAATAAACAATGTTTAGCTTGACTTAGATGGTGCAAAATGAAATATAATTGAAACAAAAAGCAGAAACAGATCATGTGATTTGACAAATCACATTTGCTTTATTTGAATCTAATGGATAAGAGCAAGTTTGACGCAGGGTTAGAAAAACCTATAATATAGACTGTGTTAAACTTACTATAAAGTTTGGTAAGGGATTAGTAATGTTTTGATGTTGCTTCATGTAAAATAGCGTCAACCCTTTAGTGCCTGTAAAACAAACATTAAATTTGAAAGCTTACGTAAACATTTTAGCTGCCAATTTTATACCTTGAATTCGTAACAGTCCAGGCAATATATTTCAGCAAGATGGTGCCACCTGTTATACTGCTTCTTACACAATTTGGTGACTCGAATTATATGCAATTCAAGTTTTAGATTAGATCACCCAAAGTTCCAATCTCAATCCAATTGAAAATTTGTGGGATTACTTAAATCATCTAATTCGAAAAAGAAGATCTTTGCTAACATCTGTACAATAATTAATTGATGCTGTGCAAAAAGAATGAACAAAAATAAGTATAGAAACTGTAAGGCACTTAATTTTGAGTTTACTTCGAAGGGTTCAAGCCATTATTGTGGCTAAAGGCAAATATTCTAAATATTAATTTGCCATGCTTAAAATTATATCAAAATAAACTATTAAGATAATAGTTTATTTTATTTTATGCTGACTGTAAATAAATGAATAAAATTAAATTAAATTAAAAAAAAAATTATCAACTCACATGACGATTCTGGTAATTTATTGTAGAGATGTGTATATCATCACGATTGTATTGAAAAATCCATTGAAAAATGTTCAATATGTCCAAGACCAGATTGCAAAAAAGAAGTAGAAGTTACAATTAAGGATGGGTTCCTAAACTATTTAACATATAAAATTTCACAGATCAATTATGTCCTTTTTGAAGAGGCATAATTATTTATTCATTACTTTAATAGGAACATAATTCAAAAAACACATGGATCAAGTGGCCTAAATTGCAAAAAACCTTTGTAGATAGTTTTTTTTTTGACCTTATATTTAAAAAAAAAACTTTTTTAATAGTGAAGGACATTTGAATTATGTTCTCACCTTTAATTTAGGAACCCATCTTTAGTTACAATTAATGCCCCTGGAAATCAGAATACCAACGATTTAATGAATATATCTCCATTATTATTTAATGATTTTCCATTATTCAATGATACTTCCCAGAAAAAACGTGCTGGTAAATCTATCAATAAATTATTCAGCAAGAAAGCAAAGAAACAAATATCAAAAGAAGATTCTTCTATATTAAAAAAACTTGTTGAGGAATTGACATCAGTAATATCGAAAAATTCTGAAAAGATAAAAGAAGTCAACGAAAACAGCAATAATTTTTTGTATCATTATAGCAAAATTACGCAGACTGAATCTAAAAGTGAGATAGCAAATAGGGAAGTCATTGAAAGTTATTTTAATTTTGGTGAAGCTATGAAAAGATGTTTCGATAATTATAAGAATCTGAAACATGGAGATCGAGCTTGCTTGGCTCTTGTTAATGACAAAATCCGGAAACAACTTCCAGATAATATCACCAATGATGCATTGAAAAAAAGAAAAGAGAGAGCAAGAAAAATATACGATTTATTTGTTAGTATCGGTAAAGAGAAATTAAGAGACATTAGATCGTTTTCAGCATCAAACATTTCAAACTTAAGCCAAGAAAATATTGATTATGTGATAGTCGAAGTTTTAGCTCGAAAAGCTGTGGCATAGCCACTAAAAAAGGAAATATAGAATATAATCGTTACTGCGCCAGTGACATCGATGTCACGTCTGAATTTACAAAAATAAAGCAAATAACGATAATCGATTACTCTTTTTCCTTGACACAATCACTAGCCTGTGGGAAAAAATTTTTTTATCTTAGAAACCAAAATGGCAACATATACCAACTTGGATGGATCCTCCCTTGTTCGAACTTTTAGTAATGTTAGTAGAGCGAGCCGTACCACAGAGTGAGTAAATATGTATAACTAGTATTTCTCTAATCTTTCGGCTAATATTACAGAGCTATTCTTTAGCGACAGCGCAGATGTTGCTCAAAAATTATCATTATTATCGAGCTCTCTGGTGGGAGAAAGGAGATTTTAATCAAAAAGCTATGTGGGAAGAAGTAACGTAAGTTCGCTTTGACGTTGATTGAATATTTTTATGATCTAGTAAAATGTAAATCAATTTTGCAATTCGTATCAAGACTTCCGTACAAACTTGCGGTTGGTGTTACCTTGGAGGAATATGAAAAGCGGACGGACGAGTTTAATATCCGTGGATATTGGGAATGGGTTAACGGCGATGTTATAATTTATGAACTTCCATCAAAGTCACACGAAGGTTTTATTTTCGCGATCACTTCAGAAATAATAGAAAAATGCCTTCCTGTTAAACGAACTGATGGAAGTATCATAGGTCTTGGCGCAATTCGTAAATATTAATTCATTGACTGTCCCAGTCTTATGTTTGTGATATCAAACAAATATGTTTTTCCTAAGGAACTCGCGCCGACAATTCTGAGAAAGAAGCGGATGCATGTTTTCGCCCTAAAAAACCACGAGTGGCACCACCAAATGGGAGTGATGAAAAGGTACCTTCTTTTACTGACTCTGAACTCTTCGGAACCGAGATTTTATATTTTCACGATTCCAGGATGAGCCCTGGCCGAATCTCGTCATCGAAGTGGCGTATTCTGAGAGTGAACCACGTGTTCTTGAAAAAGTGAAAGATTTCTGGCTACGGAATCTTAGTCGTGCCCACGACGCGATCGTGGTTAAGATTGATAAACCTCCTGAAGACGAAACTCCTTCACGGATGCAAGTAGGTTATATTCCTAAAGTGCACATGACATTTCATTGTTTGTTTGTTATTTTAAAGAGTTTAACCTACCAGGCATGGCACTTTTGTGCCAGGGACAGACCCAGAAGAACAACAGATATCCATCCTCGGACTTGCGTAATGTCATAAACAAAGGATAATAATCTTTTTTATCATTGTGTCAAATTTCTAATCTTATATTTAATTGTTAGTTTGAATTCGGTACCCATGAAAAATATGGGAACCCGACAAATATTCAACCAGGCCAATGTATCATCAACATTTCCCTGGATTGTTTGTATCACGATGCGTATCCTGAAGCTACGATTCACCGACAACTTCTCCCTGATCCAATTGTATTGGATTTCTTAATGATCCGAAACGAATTCCTTCTTGCGTATGAATAACAGAAGGGAGTAAATGATGTGTTGGGCCGTGTCTGAATTTGCAATTTATTTTTATTAATAAACAATGAAATTTTTTACGCGTGATAATATTGTAATATGGTTTTATTTGGGGTCGTCGTCCGAGCTCTACTCTGTAAATATATACGATCGTGTTTCAGTCACTATATTTTCTTGGCAAAAGTGATCGGTGTTCTGTTTTGGAACGCACAGGTGATTTTTAAACACGATAATTTAAATAAATATGCACCTTATATAAAATTTGTTAACAAAACATGTCATCAGAGCTTAAATTTTAATCTGCTCAATCAAAAATTGATTCGTTGAAAGAATTAAATTCGAAGCTTTTAACGAGAATTCTGAGGTCAAGGCCGAGAATACGAAATTAAAGCGGGCTATGGAAGAGAATGCTGAGCTTAAGAGCAGAATCGAGGAGTTGGAGAAAAATAGGAGAGATGGTGTTGCTGAGAATGTCGAACCTAGAGCTAGAGTTGTGAAATTAGAACAGGATTTCAGGAAGTCACAAAACGAGATTTCTCCCGAGGAAGACACAAGTGTTGACATACCTAGCTCCGTTATAAGCCAGTGTATTAATGCCAACTCTTCGCCCATATCACCAGAAGATAAGGAGGTTGACGAATTCGTGGATTCAAAATATAAGGAAAAGGTCAGTAATGAGATAAGAGAGAGGAATCGGGAAAAAAAGCCCCTTGTATCTGATAATGTACCGATAAACTCAGGTCAATCGCACAAGAAGAAAACGACGCAAGATATTGTACAGGATGTATTTGATTTTACCACCGATTCGCCTAAACAAAGTTCAGGACCACAACCACAATCCAGAAAAAACCATGCGATAGAAATTTCGCTCCCGGCCCGGAAGGAAAAATGCCAAGAAATATCTGATGTATTACAAACCATAGCTCGCTTATATGAAGAAGCATGCAATGCAAAAAACGAAACACTAAAAGCAAATCAAGCTGAAATTTTATGCTTGTATAACTATTTTAAGGAATTCTATTATCATGTTAAAGAGATTATGAGAACGGACCAGATCAGTGAGAAAAAAGCAAAGTGAATAATTTATAATTTTATTATTAAGCGAATTCCTGGCACTAAACGAGAAAATTTATACAAAAAGACATATAGAGCTGAAAGATTTATGAGCTATTCGAAAAGATAGGGGTGGATAAAATTAAACATATTAAAACATATAGTGCAAACTCCATCTCGGAATTAACTAACGACAAAATTCAAACCATTATTGATTATTTTTCCAAGGATCCCAATACAGAATTGAGCAATGATCGAGATGAGTTTATCGACGATTCTTCAGATATTTTGTCAGAAGCTGAGGTATGCGAAGAAATTAAAACCTTGTCTGAAACAGAGGTAAGTACTGTAACCACTCCCTCTATCCAATCATCTCATACCTCTAATTCGGAAGATAAAGTAAGTTAATGTTCTACCTACACAAACCAAATCCCGACCGCCAATTTCTATTTTACCCGATGATCCAGAAGAGAAGCGAAAATCCGTTATTAACAAAGTATTAGAGCAGTTCCCTTCTTTATCTTTGAACTACAGCAATGAGTATAGAGATTACTTTACTTGTCTAGAGATATGTCCTATATGTAATAAAAATCATAAGAAAGAAAATATAAGAGATAATGTAAAAGGCGAATGGAGTAGTGGTGACTATGTCACAAAAACATATCGTATCAAATGTTATAAGAATTATCAAAATTCAATCCAAATAGTAACGGTGAAAGCGTAGGGCAATAAGAATCAATGGAAATATAAGTTAACTTCGGATATTATTTTGCCTATAACCCAAATACTGTATACAGTATATATAATATATTTTTCACACCTTTATTCTAATCGACTATAATCACTGGCGCAAGTGATAGATTCTCAAATCTTTTTTCAATACGAGTCAGAATTTTTCTTGATAAGATACGTGAATCAGGCACTTCCATCAATACTTTCTCTGCAATTTTTTCAGTACATATATACATACACATTATATGGATTAAGGAACCTTCTTTATAATTATGCCCATAATGTTATAAAAATCGATATTCATTCATTACAAGATAAATGGTTTTTTTAGGAATTAATAGCAAATCAGAAAGAGATGATAGATATTTGTAATTGGAAGATGGATTTTTCAGGTTTAAAGTCAATATATTGAAATAATTTTTCATGTAATTCAGCTATTTTATATATCATCAAGCCTTTAATACAAGTTATTTTGAATATGGGTAATTATTTTTGAAGATGAACCAAAAATTTTTTGGGCCTAAAATAATAACCCTAAGATTATAATTTGAAATTATAACTTATAATTATAAGTTATATATATAATAATTTATTAAATTGTAAATATATGTTAAAAATTATAATAAAAATTTATATTTATTAAAATTTAT